CAAATTTGTGTGTCTTGTTGGATGGCTATGTATTTTTTGGTACTAAATTCTTTATAAAGAATGGGTTTACAAGATCTGAAAAGGAAACTTCTCAGAAGTTTGCTTTGAATTAGTTACATCTACTCAAACTTGCGCATTTTTGGTAATAATATATAGCAGAAATTAATACTGTTGTGACACCAATATGGTGGGTTACAGGATCATATTAAATGTTACAAAACAACACTTTTTTGTTAAGCTTCTCCAAGTAAAATAAAATAAAAAATATATCAAGCAATATCTGATTGATTAAGGCGATTTTCTAATATTAATAAGTGAAATAAAACTAAACCAGAAAAAAGTTATAAAAGTCTATAGAAAAAGGAAGTTTATCTATAGAAAAAGGATGACTGTTTTCTTCTGTTCAAATACTGGAAGTGGTATACCCTTATATATGGTCCTTTTTTGCTCCGAGCCTTATGTTCAACTCGATAAAACAATTGTTCCCCTCTGATCTCTCATAAAGAAGTCAGGTAAATGCATTACAAAAGAAAGGATTGAGTGATAATCGCCTGAGTGTATTAGTTTTAAGATAGTTTCATTCACTCTATTAGTTTCTCTTGCATTTACGGTACACTGTCTTTGTATGGGTCTCTGGGTTTATGTCCATTGTGGCAACACAGTTTGCATTGTGACAAAATAACGCACTAAAAGTAGGGACTTTAAAATTTTATTGCCAATGCATGATATATTTGTTCGTAAACATTTTTATGTGCTTGCTCAAGTCTCTACGTTTTAGTTTTCTCTTTCATCCTTTCTGATAATGTCCTCACCGACCAGAATATGGTGGGTTACAGGATCATATTATACCACTGAAGCGTGCTGCTGGAGAATTGGTGATAATTAAGTTGACAGGTGATGAATGATTTAGGGGATTTCCTAAACGTTATAAAGTAACTCATTTTTGTTAAGCTTCTCTAAGTAAAATGAAATAAAAAATACATCAAGCAACAGCTGATTGATTAAAGCATTTTCTAATATCAATAAGTGAAATAAAACTAAACCAGAAAAAGGTTATAAAAGTTTATTTATAGAAAAAGGGTGTTTTCTTCTGTTCAAATACTGGAAGTGGTATACCCTAATATCTGGCCCTTTTTGTTCCGAGCCTTATGTTCCACTCGATAAAACAATTGTTCTCCTTTGACCTTTCTTATAAGAAGTCAGGTAAATGCATTACAAGAGAAAGGATTGAGTGCACATTGCCTGAGTGAATTGGTTTTAAGACAGTTTCATTCACTTTTATTATTAATTTCACTTCACATTTGTGGTACACTGTCTCAGTATGGGTCTCTGGATTTATGTCAATGCATCGTAACTAGGCACTTTGCACTTACGCACTTTGACAATTTGAAAAAAGGTACAAAATCAACGCACTTGGAAAAAAATCAAAATGCGTTAAATTTTGGACACACTCAATGCAATTTGATTTTTTTTTTCATTGTGCCTTAAGAATGTACATCAACATTTTTATTAATATTGTGACATTAAACGCACTGTGAGAAAAATATGTATAAAACAAATAAAAACCTAGACTTAGATTTTAGTAATTGATTTGAAATCAATTTGTAATGATTATGTATTTTAAAAAAAACTTTTTTTAATTTACATTTATTGATTTACCCTCATTGAGACGAGTAGAAGGTCTTTTAGCCCAATTCTTTTCCCTATATATAGAGAATTAAAAGCTACCGTCGGTAGCAAATTAAAATTGGATCGACCCCCAAGGTAAGCACCAATTTTCAATGCCTGTATTATTTATATCTTTGCAAAATATTTGTGCGCCTAATCATCCCGTACCGATTCCTATGCTGCACCCGAGTTTATGTGTATAGGCATAGCTGGAATGACGGTGAAATTATAAATTTTAGTTTGCATAAAATGCATGGAAACTGGAAAAAATTAAATACAGTAAACATTGAAGAGAGAAGAAATTTTCAAAGTATGGAAAAATCAAAATAAAAAAAAAATTTCATATCCTTTAGTGACCTTATCACCGAAAAGTTATCCCACAGGTTCAATTTTTTATCATACCTAAGATTTACAAAAAAAAATGACCAAGCCATATACATTTTTTTTTCAAAGTGCATTAATATCCCTAACAAAAAAAAATATTATAGTTAACTATAGTTATCTATTGTTTACTATAGGTTAACTATAGTTATAACTTTGACACTTTTTAAACTTTAATTTATTATAGTGATAACTTTGACACTTTGAAAATCTCTGACAAAAACATTGACACTTTGAAAAACTTCGGCGAAAACTTTGACACTTTGAAAATCTTTGGCGAAAACTTTGACACTTTGAAAAACTTTGGCGAAAACTTTGACACTTTGAAAAACTCTAACAAAAACTTTGACACTTTGCAAAACTTTATCGAAAACTTTGACACTTTAAAAATCTTTATTGAAAACTTTGATACTTTCAAAAAATTAATCAAAAAGTTTGACACTTTGAATTAAAAACTTTATCGAAAACTTTGATACTTTTAAAAATTTATCGAAAACTTGGAAAATTTAACACTTTGAAAAACTTTATCAAAAACTTTAAAACTTCTAAAAATTTTATCAAAAACTTTGACACTTTGAAAATCTTTATCGAAAACTTTGGTGAAAACTTTGACACTTTGAAAAACTTTGGCGAAAGCTTTGAAAAAAAAACTTTGGCAAAAACTTTGACACTTTGAAAAACTTTGGCAAAAACTTTGACACTTTGAAAAACTTTGGAGAAACCTTTGACACTTTGGAAAACTTTGACGAAAACTTTGACACATTTTAATTTACTATAGTTAACTATGGTAAACTATAGTTAATTATAGTATTTTTTTGTTAGGGGGATGGTCGATATCAAAGCACTCTGAAAAGAAATTTTATTTTTTCAAAGTGCGTTGATTCCGTCCCAAATTATTCAAAGTGCGTTGTGAAAATGCATGCATGTACAAGTATCCGTCAGTTAATACATGGTACTACTTTTTAGATGATCATTGAAATACTTTTCTTCTAAAGGACAGATGATACAAACAATTTTTTTCTGTGAAAAAGATTTAATATCATGTCACTAGTTTAGAAAAGTGGATGGTTCTTAGAATGTTTTCGCCTAAGACCTGGAAAATGAAAATATTAGTAATATGTCAATAAAAAAACAAATATAGCCAAATCACATTCAGTAAAGGTTTTCAGGTGAAAAGAAATTTCAGAATATGTTACCATGGTGCTAAAAGTATACAATAAAGTTAAGAAAATGCCAGGTGAATTTTAAGAGGAAGAACAAAATGACAAAAAATTAGCAATATCACATAGGCTGATTTTACTATTTAGCTTTTCCTAATAAAATTCAACTGGTTTGGTATATTTTTCTTAACTTTAATAACAGTTTTAGCAGCATAGTAACATATTCTAAAATTTTTTTTCAACTGTAAACCTTTACTAATGTGCTTTGTCTATATTTTTTCATTGAAATATTACTCATATATTCCAAGTCTTTTTCATACTCCAGTTCTTAGGAGAAAAAATTCTAAGAACCATCCACTTTTCTAAACTTGTGACATGATATTCAATCTTTTTCAAAGAAAAAAAAATGTTTGTAACATCTGTTCTTAAATTACTAACCTCAGTTTTTTTTCCACACAATAAACAAATAATTTCTTTGTTCTCGGTGTATTTTTAATAAAACTAAAAAAATCTTCCTGGATGTAGAAGCAGCCATTCGAGTTTAAGTTCGGGCTGTTAACAGGAATATACTTGTTAGCTGAGAAAAAACACCTGAATTCTGTGAAAGGCCATCAAAATGACTCGTAAAGCTATACATGATGACAGATTTAATAGTGGGGCTCATTATTATAAGTCTAATTTTGATATCATTTAACTATGGTAGAGAGCAGAGGAGAGCAATACAAAATGAACAAGGAATTTAAAAAAATCAAGAAAAAAGAAAAATAGAAAAATACAGACATGAGAAAAAAATCTATGTTTGATACCATTTAACTATGGTAGAGAACAGAGGACAGCAATACAAAAAATGGGAAAACTGGATTTTTCATACAGTGTTATTCATAAATGTTATACTCTTTTTTATGATTTTGTTAGAAAATGTAACCTTCATTTGGGCAATAATTTGACTCACTTTTTTCATAAAAATTCTTATAAAATACTGAATCTGATGTAAAAAACCCCGTCCTACTGGTCGGCCTTGCGTATTATATAGTTTGAGTCACTGATTTTAAGACTAATATTAATCAAACGATAACATTTTCACAGCCGGTTGCAATCTTCTTGTAGACAAAATCTTTAAAATGATTCAATTTCATTTAATTAAACTATCTTTTAAAAATACCTTTTAAGAAGAATATTTAATATTTCTAGCATACAATGAGAGGGAAAACCCTTGATGAAATACATTAAGCTGACCTTTGAGTATTCAGCTTTTTTATATAATTCTTTAAAACATTTTGAACTACCAGACTGATGCCTATCAAATTTGCTTTGTGTCTTAAAGTCAATCAAACATAATCAGTGATAATTTTTTGAATTGTCGCAAACAATACATTGTCGCCAAGTATGGTACACATTTTTGATGCATATTTTATTATTTTTTTCATTGAAAACCACCTGCTTATATTTGTAAAAAAAGACATTGGTTGTTGTAAATTTGACATATTTAAGTAGAATTCAGTTTCCTTCGGATTCTAAATAAGGTTTACAAATTTATCTTTTAATTTCGCTCTAGTTTACCAATTCTTAACCCTTAACTTTAAAGCAATGACTCGAATAGCCCTTGTTTTATAACTTCCCACAATGAAACTATGTGATAAAAGTGGTCACATAAAGTGTAATCAATTAATTGAAGATTTAATAATGAAGAAAGTAAAGCTTAATGTCACATGATTTTTATGTTGTATGTCATCGAGCTGATGACATTTTTTTATTGAACAACCCTCGTAATGATAACAATGATTATATGCTATCATTAGTTTCTTTTGTTATTTTCAGCTCCACCTTCTTACCAAGAGGTAACCAGTCCTAGTTCCCAGCCTCTCTTTTCACATGAGAACCAGTACAGCCAGCATCAACCGCCAGGTGGCGCAACAGGACAGTATCCCGGTTATCAATATCCTCCAAAGAGTAGTTCTCCTGGTCCCTATCCATACCAACACGTACCGGGGGCTCCACAAGGATTCACTCACAATGTGGTGGTAAGGTGTTTTTTTTTTTTTTTAGAAAATTAAAAGAAAAAAAATAAAGATACAGGTCTATATTTAGCTAGTACACAGATTTTTTTTGCAAATTTTGATTTTTAATTTAAAATACATGAATGAATTTATTTGCATCTAGTATTCATTATATAGACTAAATTTAGCCTTAAACTAAAAGAACACTCTACTACAACGTCATCTACAGCTGGCGTTTATGAAATGAATTGCCCATATGTATAATACCAATTCCTTGGGTACAATTCATTTGTTAGGTAACAATAAATATATCAAAACATAACTTGTTCATGAAAAGTGCTGCTAAAATCCTGCTATTCCTTCACTGAAAACAAAATTCCAAAGTTTAGCATGAAACATTGCTTAACTATTTACATTTTTACATATGTATTGGATCAAGAATTTTTTATGATATCCCTTTTCCTGTAAAAACGAAAATCTAAATACCTTTCTTGTTTTTCTGAAAACTTGAAAATACATTTAAATTTAAAACATACTTATAGCCTAAGATGTTCTACCATATGATACATTTTTTGAAAAAAAAATGTAATGACGCTCATGCATGTGTGCTTCAATCTGATCGCATTAAACATGAAATTGAAATTTCAGCAAAACAAGATGAAATTTAGAACAGATAGACATTATTACATGTAAGTCCTAAACGAAGGTATGGTCGTCATGCACATGCATGTACGTGCGCATATTAGGAAAATAGTATCGATAAAGTTCAATATTTACAGCTTACTATGATATATCATATTGTATATAGCTGAGTTGGATACCTTGATGTAGCCTTAATATATTAAAAGCTACATAACTATTCAAGAAGTCATTTCTGCTAATTCTTATTAGGTCAATCAGCCTGGTTCTACTACCATGGTTATATCTCGGCCCGTCAGACAGGATTGGACACTGCCTGCCATTCTTTCTTGTTTATGCTGTTTTTGGCCAACAGGAATTTTTGCCATTTTTGCAGCTTGCAAGGTATTTGGAGAAATGAATTTACTCGCATTTTTAGTGATTTCAGCATTTATAGGAATAACTATTTTTAAGACAAGTTTCTCAATCATAAGTAAAGTAGAAGCAGCTGTATGTGTTATTTAAGGAATCACCCTCTAGTTAGTATAGTATGCCAGGGCATCAGCGGTAGTGGGAAACATGGAATAATTTGCATAACATTGATGTCCCAGGCATACTATACTATCTAGACAATGATTCCTTATGTTTCCATTTTTTGTAAAAATTGTCGATTTAGACTTTAAAAATGTAGACATAGATTTAAATCACACGAGGATTCCTATGCAAATGTCATTCATTCAATCATAAGTACAGTAGAAGCAGCTGTATGTGTTATTTAAGGAATCACCCTCTAGTTAGTATAGTATGCCAGGGCATCAACGGTAGTGGGAAACATGGAATAATTTGCATAACATTGATGTCCCTGGCATACTATACTAGCTAGACAGAGTTTTCTTATGTTTCCACTTTATTGTAAAACTTGTCGATTTAGAGATTTAAATCACACGATGACTCCTATGCAAATTTCAATAGTGCTTGCCGACTGACGTCAAACACAAAGACATCTGCACGAGATTAATGCATATTTGGCCTCCTTATCGTCAGACAGAAAGACAGATGCTCACAAGAGATTTGCATGCCTATAAGGCCTTTTTAGCTCCTATCGATCGCTTTATTAACATTTTGGTAGAATTATCAAGAAATCGACTCTGTCAACTTTCAATGAGTTATCACAGAAATAAAAAGAAATGGAAATATTATAAAATATCACTCTCGTATACTCTCCTAAACAAGGGCTCTGTTGGTCTGCTTTTTATCTTGCATTTATGATATGTGAATTGAAGCATTGATATTAAAATTTATATGTGAATTTAGTACTCTTTTTATGACTATGAAGAATAGGCAAGAGATTCATAGATTGGCTGTCAAGTAAATACGTGTTTAACTTGAGTGCAATATATATAGCCTACATGCAGTATATTTATGATAAAAACATCAAGCCATCTGCCGCAGAAATATGGCTGAAAAATTGCCGACTCGGCGTTAAACAATATAAAATCAATCAAGCTATCTGTTATAGAAAGTCTTTTGCTATGAACATATGTAGAAAAAATTTCACAAATCAGAGGAAGTAAATAAATATTGCTATTATATTATTTAAGCATATAAATTTTATTTTTATTTAACCCTAAAATAAACAATTTTTCAGATGGCTGTAATATATGTGATACCCTTCAAGTTTGTCTCTATGTCTCTCTTTTTTCAGTTCATGTATGAGGGTCTCTAAATGGTCTATTCCTATTCAATTTCACTCCTATCTAACGGTTTTTGAAAATAATAATAAAATGCTTTCATTGGTTAATTAATATGCGAATAGTTGTTGCATCTGTAAAAAGATTGTAAAAAAGAAAGCGGGTTAGGTAATTTTTTTTCTCATGCTGTAACATTAATTTTGGTACATTAAACAAAAGGCATTTTCTTGTTTATAATTATTTTCATACAAATATTCATCTAAAACAGTATTAAGTACATTTAAATTTAATATTGAACTATGGATGACATAATGGAGGAGAAACAGCTCAGGACATCCGTACGGTTGATATGCTAAGGGTGTATTGACTAAAAAAAACTTTCTTTTAAAAAATACAATGAGAGAATATTTAGAGTCAGATGTGAATATTTTATAGTAAAATATGCTAAAATTAACAAATGAGCGCACAAATAAAAAGTTAGATTCAAATTATTCATTGCAAACTTAGACAAAACCCCTTTTGAAACAGAAGTATCCACAGCTAATTCAATTAGGGTAAAATCAGACTTAAGTGTTGTAAATGTATGTTTTTATTTAATAAAAGAAGCTTTAGCGTTTTCTTTGTGATTGAACTTTTTTTTCGCTAATTGAATGGACAAGTAACAGTATGTGAACACAGAAACGCGTTTGTTATCAATTTGTCCTTATTCTTCAAAGTATAATATCTTTAAATGGCGCCTTTCTATTAGACATCATTACATGTATCAAAATTTAAACTTCAACTTGAGCACAGGGAATTGCAACTTACATAAATTAATTCTACTTTCATCTTTGAAAAGGGGAGAAAAGGGATATATGTAAATCTGGGTTTGGACAGAAGTTTTGAAAGAAACTTAATTGTATAAAAATGTCATAATATTTTCAAATAGTTGTCTTTTTTATTCAGGCGAACGCTGCAGCAGCAGGGGGAGATGAAGTAGAAGCACAGGCGCAGTCGAGACGCGCACGTAGCCTTCTTATCACTTCCGTTGTTATCAGAATTTTCATCATGATACTTTCTGCAATTTTGCGAACAATTGTGTATTAAAATCACTACCGTCACTGAAACATATTGGATATTACTTATTTTTTGATGACTTTCTCTCCAAGCATACTACAGAATAAGATATCCTTACAAAAAGAATTATTTGACAGCTAGATTGTTAAGTGAATTAAAGCTGAACATAAATTTAAAATATTAAACGGGTATCTTAAAAGTAATATAACTTATGCCTATCTACATATTCGAGTCTTGTGTAGCTATAATGTGGTTTTATATTTAGAAATTTAATTTTGTGTTTCATCATATCAAGATGCATACTGTAAACCAAGTTTTATTCGCGACGACTTTATTTCGCGATTAACCAGGATGAACTAGTTCGCAACGATTAATTTTCGCGATCAAGCCTATATTGGATTTGTTGTATATAGACACATAGACCTCAAGGACAGGTTCGCGGCGAGAAATATTCTCGATGACAGAGCTCTCGCGAACTTCGCGAACATTTCTCGTACGCGAATAAAAGTTGGCTTACAGTATACTATCATGTGTCTGTGTAAAATATTTACACGAAAACAACTTAAGTAAATTTTACTTGTACATTAACTTTCTACGCAATTTCATTATCTACATTTAACTGCTATTTTAATACATTTTTATGCTTACTCTATTGAAACACGTCATTAATCGTTTTTGTAACTCAAGACACTATGCACTGCTAGATCATTTGTATTAAGATTGTTGTCCTTGAAAATTAACTGTGTATTATTTTTTAACTAACTGACCCAGAGACGTACTGATAATACAGAGGATTTATATGTAACTGATGAAAGATCATGATTTACATGAATGTAATAACCCGAATTTAAAATATGTTTCATTTCCTTTCCTGTCTATTTTTGTATATCATTTCGATATCCTTTGTCTAGTTTCTTAAATTCAATATCGAGATATTGTATCACATTACGTTTATACCTAATTACATGTGATGAAAACGATGTTTTTGTCAGTATTTTTCAAATCATTTACAAATATAAAATAAAAGGATACATTTTTTTTTTCTATATTTAAAAAGAAAAAAACAACAAAATGATACCAAGAGCTAAGTAAACTAGATAGTACCCGCAATTTCTGTCGTGCATCTTCTGTCAGCGCATGCCTCCAAATCATCACGTAAAGGAAAAGTATTTGCCGAGTGGATTTACCTGATTCAAGAATTTGTTGATGTTATACTACCAACCTACACTACATTGTCATGAAGACGATACTCAACCAAATACATGTATTGGGATTCTTCATAGGACAGTGGCTATTTTTTTTTTCGGAATGGACAAAATTGATTGATCATACCATCCATGCTTTTTAATAATATATTATGAATAAAATATGAGTAACTCATTGAGAATTTATATTAATTTGTCAACAGGAATAATATTGATACAGAAAAGCACAAACAAAATATTTGGAATAATAAAGAAAAAGAATAAACTGTATATTGTGAAAATCCGTTCTTGTTGATCAATTTAGAAAAATGGTTTGTATATATGTATAAAATCTCGATTCGTGGATCTTGAAGTT